TCGTTTCGCGCGACACGACAGATTCGAGCAGCGAGACGCGCGTAATCACGTGGATTTTCTCGTGCAACTTATTAGTGAAATAGTATTTGTTCGGTGGAGGTAGAGTTTGTGACAGGAAAACGATGGTAAAACTTGATCCTCGATGTCTGTCAGATCGAACAATTTTACGTTCGTTTCGATATGATTGATTAGCTCGTTCATTGGGTTGATAGGAAGACCGAGGATGTTTCTGCGATTGTGGCATACTGAATTACGCGAAATACGCGAGAGGAGCTTTGCAATCTTATTGGCCGTGTTGTGGTACATTTGTCTGTGGATTAGTGTCGTCAGATTCTAACGTTGCTCTCGTGTATTTTGCATATTTCGATATGTTACAATTACGTAGACGTCTGCAGTCCAGTCATAAGTAATGTCGCTTTTTCTGTGAATCTTGAGAAACGGGTTTTGTTGAAAACAACGTTTATTTATTCTAATATAAAGTGTTCTGTGATAGACGCGATACTTGGCAATGCTTCTTTCATCAAATCCGGTAGACGTTAGACGTTCGAACTTCCCATTCTTAATTTTTTAACATTTAAAACTTCGTTATCATATGCACTGCAAACATTATTCGTCGCCATAATCGCGGTATTGCCGTTTTTAAATTCAATTAACGTTCTCTGCCTGGGACGCTCAGTTTCACTCGCGATGATGACTTAAACTCGCAGAAATAATCAATAACGCATTTAGCGAATGATTAGCGACGTCCTTATCTAAACAATAAATTAGTATTCCGATAAATCCCTACGTTATACAAGTAGCAGTGCAGTGTGAAAGTGATACGTAGAAAAAAGAACATTACTCATGATTCAACCTAATAATTAAAAAGAAATTGCATTTCGCTGTTAAGAATCATTGGGATCAAGCACACGTTTTCGCGAAAGTAAATGTTTAACGGTTACCAATCAACCGTACAAAGTTTCTTTTATTACCAAAAAATGTCCTCGAAAAAGTCGCGTCACGTGCGGCAGCGACGTCGTTAATTAAAGGGACAATTGGAAAAAATCGCGCCACCTTTGAAAATTCGGGAAATATTCAAGCTGCGAAGGGTAGCCGTGTCGCAGGGCTCGTTTAAGGTAGCCGCGCGCGGATTTATGCGAACGTCAGCGGCGTATTAATCTCTCGTGCGGCACGAATTTTCCGCGGTATTACGCAACTTCCCCGATACTGATTATTACTTGATAATACGTTTGCAGCGAGGTTCCTAGTCATAAATAATCCCGGTGATTTATGCGTTATTTCGCCTCCGCGACAGAAAGAGAGCTGCTCCGCGTTTCGGTGGGTTTTCACCCCGCGAGACGAAAAAGTCGAACGCACACACAGCGGTCGGGTGCATCGGATGGGGAAAGCTGAACGGGTTGTGAAAAGCGTCGGAACGGTGTCCCGTGTACAGTGAAAATTTTCCGCACGATTCAGTTCAGGATGCGGTAGCGTGATAAAAGTGGCTGATACACGAACGTCGATTATACATATATCGTATATTCCTCTCCTCTTGTACACACTGTTCAAGTGAACCCAGTCTACTCCCCTCCCTAGTGAATGTGAACGAAAGTTTAAAATCATATTCGACCCGAGGCAGCGTTAATGTTGTTATCGGTGTTTTAAAATGTTGTTAACGACGTTGGAGGAACGCGTACGATGAAAACCGCGATGGTAAACGGGCCGCATAAAATGGTAAATCGATGTTTTATACGGTGCAATTTAAATCAGATACCCTTTCCCTCTCCCTCTCTCTCTGTTGTACGAAAAATCTTCTCGCCGTATTTCCATATTCAAATGCCTCTCTGTTCCCGCTAACAAACATTTAGCTATCTCGTGTACCGAACACGTCGAATAGGTAACGATGGTATCGTTCCCTTTGGAAATTCCCTGGTTCGATAAAAGCTTTCAGAAAAACAACTTCGTTACTCTTCTTCGTCATCGTTATTTATACACCCCTGTTGAAAAATTCGATGAAATCTCGTTCGCGTGACATTAAACACTGTCTACTCTATTTGTCATTGGGGAAGGGGCGCGGGACGATTGTGCACTCTTGTACCGCGATATTTCAAATCCTTATCAGCCGCGAACATAAACGAGTACAGGGGAGAGATATCGGCGTTGTGACAGTGAATACCGATCTTCTTCTAACCGCGAGCAGCGAGCGCAGTTTCGATTAATTATGGATGCCATTCACCGACGCGCAGTCGCTAATCGTCGATTAACCGAGCGACAGTCCGCTACCATAATTGCATCGTAACGTCAACGTAGCACCGGTAGATCGGGCCTATGTTACCAGGCGTAACCGGGACTTTCGGTAACGACCCTTACGGCATTCCATCTGTCCCAGCCGAAGCTCCATAGAATGGTAATTCGGGGACGATTAATTCACGATTCCGCAGGCAATATGTGCTGATGCAGCCGCGTGCATCAAATCTGTCGTAGAGTTCGTGATTGCACGCGGGTCATCGCGATACCAACTGGCACGCGGCAATGTGTTTCGGTGTGTGCGTGTTGAATTTAGGCTTCGAACATTCCCCCCTTCGTGTTCTGTCTATATAGCTTGTTTTAGCCTAATTGGAGGATTCGGTATTTCTGCTGCTGATCGTGTCCCGCCTTGAGACATCGCACTCGCGATTAGTCGTCGTTTGTTTTAATTAAGTTTCTTCCGTTTTGCGTATCGAGTTGTTCTTTTTGTCGTGGTGATTGTAGTTAAGTTACTGGCTTGTGAATAACGAGAAATTTGTTTCTATACGCCTAGGAAACAGAATTTATCATTTTTTTTCATTTCTGATTTATCTGGTGATCATCGCGTCTGTGACGGATACGAAATTGAGATCAATTTTTGTTCGAGTAGTCAAGTGGAACATGTGCGTTTCTCCGGTCACGAAAGGGTTAATCCTCTTACTTTACGACTAAAGCAATTTTTAATCGCCATATTTTTTGATATGTTTAGATAAAATTTTCTGTAACTGACAAAGGATTCTTCGCGCATGAGTCGAATCGTCCTAAATCGGCCCCGGAAATTAAAAGAGTTAAAGGATTAATATTAACCTTTGAACTACAACGCGATCCACAAAGAAATCTTTCAACTTTCACAACGTCATTAATTTCCGATTAAATTTAACCCACTTTTTAGTCCAACTCAAAGTTCAATGCATTATACATCGAAGCAGGTGTATTTTCCTTAGCAAAATTGCCGTAAAATCGTCCTTTCAAAATTCGAAACCAGCGACACGCGCAAAGGAACACGTAACACAGCGAAAGATCGTTCTCGAAACGTTACCCGGTGAAAAATGTCGCCTCCTCGCAAAAGGTGTCTTTTGTCTCGCGAGAAATTGCCGCGTTTATTTCTTCCGAGTGGCTGCATGAGAAATCTGATTTCATCGGCGTTGCCGGGAACGGGAAGAGCTCGCGCGATTTCAGAAAGAAGCTCGTCGAAAGGAAGGGAAACGAAGTGTTGGTCGATGTTGGGATAAATCCTCCGCTACTTTGTTCACCTGATACACAAGATACTCTTGTGCAGGTGCAGCGGATTATAACGTTATTAAACGGCGCACACTGGCATTCCCGCGATAACTACCATAACCCACCGCCATCGATCCGAACACACGACCTAATCCACTCCTCTGCGGCTCTCAAAATCAATTACCCAGTTAACTCCTTCGCTCTGCGGGACGCTTAGTCCCTCGTGTAATTAGGAACTGACCCATGTTGGATTGTCGATTAAATCTCCGTTTTCTATTATGCTACGCCGCAGTTTTTCTCCTTTCGTTCTGTACTTCCGCACCCTTCGTTAATCTCGATACATTCTGTTAGCAGATTATTTTTCAACCCTTTCGCTACTAAGGGCGATTCTAATCGCCTTTTTATCCAGCGATGAAATTTCGCGTAATTGGTATTCCTTCGTTCAAGTGACTCGAGAATTGCTTAACCCTTCCGTGGCGAAATTTTGTTTTTTTGAAATACTTCGTTTTTCTGTCGATCGTCGTGTCTGTTATGGATCGATCAATTTTTATTCGAGCAGTCTAGTGGGACTTTTGCGTCTTATTCCCGTATTTCCACTGTCTTCGCGAAAGGGTTAATCTGTATTCTGTTTTGCTATTTTCCTCTCGAATATTTTACGCAATTTTATTCATGTGAAAATATACTTTTGATCGCAGGTCAACGGAGACGATGATTGGGAGTACGAGGAGATCGTGCTCGAGAGGGGTGGCGCTGGGCTTGGCTTCAGCATCTCCGGGGGCACAGATTTCGGCAACGACACTGCCATTTACATCACGAAACTTATACCGGGCGGTGCCGCTTCCGCGGACGGCCGTCTGCGCGTCAGCGACACGCTATTACAGGTGAACGACGTGTCCGTTGTCGATGTGCCGCATGCGGCGGCCGTCGACGCGCTCAAACGGGCAGGCAACACCGTTAAACTAGTAAGTATCCACTGCTTCAACCTTTTCGTATATCTTCACGTATCAACGCGTAGTTGTTCGCTATATTTTCATACTTTTCCTGTCACGAATATTCAAATTTTCAAAGAAACTGAACGTACTTCACGTATGCCTTATAATTCTTTAACCGTTGCGTATGTTATCCTCGCTATTCGTTACGCTGTTTTAATGCAATTTGTGTTTGGTAATGGTCAATCTTAAATCGAAGCTGAAGTCAGAGGGAAAATGCAAATTTAGTCGAAACACAGTTTTCCTTTTGTCATATTTTCACATCTTCACCGTGATTTCTGAATCTTTACCACGAGTGTGGCTCGCCATTATAAAGCAAAGTAAAAAAATTGACAGCAACTTCGTATCACCTCATCTTAAGAAAATATTAGATGATTGCAAAAGTTAACCTTATCGACTTCGGCACAGATGTTTCTTTTAGCGTAATGTTTATTTTCAAACAATTATTCATTTCATTCCATTTCAGTTTCAAATGAAATCTGCTTTTGCACACACCGATTGTGTTTTATTTTCAAATCGGGGACGAACTTCTGCAATCATCCAATACAATGTAAGCAATGAACTGTCAGCCAAATAATTCGAATCGTTTTAATCGCGACAGTTTAATAACGAGCAGAAATGTGACGTAATTACATCAGAGCCGTCGTTCTACTCGGTATTAGAGATATCAGGACCTGGGGCCGGGCGTCTTTCGAAATCGCTTAGTAACGTCGTAAAAGTGAACATGTTCCTCCCGGGAAAATAGATTAACCTACATCCGTGAAACGTATAACGAACTACCCTAAAACTTCTCCCGCAACCCTAACGACTTACCACCGACGACGTTTGACTGATTGTCTCTTCGGGACTTCTCCGAGAAAGTCTGCTCCGTGGTGAAATGTGTGTCTTAAAATCTCGTCGTCGACGCTTCAACTCGATTTTCAGATCTGAAATTATTCAATCACTTTCGCGTCTATTCAGCGCACTATTCTCTCCCATGAGTGAAACGCGACGGAGAAAATTTCAAGACCAGAGAAATAAACGGAATAAATAACGCGAGATTTGAAAGACCTCCTGCACAATGGAACCACCGCGTCTGCTGCGAAAAAAGAGTCCCTTTTAGACGTCCAATTATTATCTGGTGGTAGCACCACGCGAGATAATCGCGGCCGGCGACAATGGCGGCTGTATATCTTGCGGAAAACCGAGAATTCCCTTCCGCGAAATAATGCCCCCGTTTTCCCTATCCCTCTTTCGTTATCTCCGCCTCTGAAACATCGAAAATAAAAGGCAGCACCGAAAGAAGGAGAAAAAAAAATACAAATCTCAATTCCGACGCAACGAAACGATCGTTTAGGACACGGAAAAAATGGGACAGAATAAAACGAAAATCCTACATGTCGGTAATAACGAATTAATTTCACAATGCATCCGCGAACCAAGAGAGCCGGAAGATTTGAAAAAAAAAAGACTCGCTGGCGGACGAGCGCGCGTTAGCATTTGAATGGGGCCAGCCCGAATAAATTTCCACGTTCGTCGCGATGCTTCGCCCGTTTAATCGTGTTCTCTCGCAGCTGGCAGAAATATTCCTTTCCAAAGTCGAAAAAATTTTCATTCCCCTTCTCTCTTCTTCGCTAAGAAACATCGTTCGATCTTCTCTCTCTCTCTCTCTCTCCTCTTTTTTCCCGTGTCGTTCACGCGAGCCACCTGCGTTATTAACCTTTTTCGAGTGTCTGGAAAACAGGAGCAGAAGGGTCAGGAAGAGAGAGGGGCGAGCATAAAAGCGTTTACGGGCTGGATATTATTATTTCGCCGCCGCTGCTCGCCCCTCGTCGCAATATCCCCGACGAACCGTCGCGTCGACCCTTAAGAGGAGACTTAACGTTAGCGAAACTTTAACAGCGTTTCCTGCCGGGCCGATTTAATTAAATTTATGTCGTGTAGCGTTTCGGTGCACCGCCGTGAAAGTGAGATCTTAATTATCCCCCTCGATCTGATGCTCCATTTAATTTCTCCAAATTTAACGACCACCAACCTCCCACTTTCTGAACGAGAGGAGAATCTCGAGGAAGCTTTCGTCTGTTCCGCGTGATTGGCTGAAATACAGGAACGATAAATATCGAGGTTTTATCGACGGTCGTGACGGTGGAAAAAGAAATGCAACGTCTGACGAATCATAATACAAGAGTCAGTAAGTTTGGATTCTACAAATGACAGTATAGATGGTTCTACACCAGTCGGTTTCCTTTACGAGATTTCACGGCACGACAAATCATATAATTTCTTTAATTTTACTTTTTTTCATCTGAAACTTTTTTTAACATGTTGGTGAGATTTTTCTGATGAAAATGATA